TTTAATAATAAAGTATATGTATCACGGATTTTCAGAAAATATGACTAGCATGGGTCTGTAAGCCCGTGGAACTTCAAAGTCACACCCTGAAAATGCCAATATGTGAAAAATTTAATTTTCACAAAGAACTGTTTAACTGGCAGTAAGAATTACCAAACAGACTGCATTGCCTACTGAAGCTGTATTTTAGTCCCACGTTTCTTTCCTGTAAGTTTGAGAACAGTAAGTGACATGGTTTTTCTTAAATGGTCATCATGGGAGCAGTGCCCAAAAAAATTTTTTTTTTTTGAAATTTTGATGCAATATTACATAATGTTTAACAGCATAATGACCATCAATTTTTAATAATAAAATATAAGCATCATGTATATTCAGAAAATGTGACTAGTAAAGGTCTTCAGGCCCATGGAACTTCAAAGTCACAACTTGAAAATGCCAAAATGTAAACAAGACAGCACTGTTCTGAAATTTTTTTTTTTTTTTTTCAAACACATCTGTGTCTGTACATAAAAAGTAAGAAAATTGTTGAAATACCAATAATATTTTTTATTGGCATCTTTGTGTTTCCAAATTTTTTTACAATGTAGTATGTGGTGTAATATTGATATATCAATGTTATGAATCACTGTAAAAAAGATAAACATAATGGAATTATGACTACTTGCCAGGTTATGTGTTTCTATATATTTTATGTGACTTTTTTTATTGCATTATTTTGATATTATTTAGATCGTTGAATAACATCTAAAATAAGAACATTGTTTTGTTATTTTTTTTTAAATTAATGTCGCAGTAACTTTTTAAGAAGGATGAAAAAGATAATCTGGTTTTGGATTTTCTGCTCTTTTTATTTAGACTCAGCTGTTGTACTAACTGCGTTACAGACTCTGGGCATTTTGCTAAGTGAAAATTGAAAGGTTTATAGTATTCATATATCTGTTAAAAATGAAAAAGTGTAAGCAAGATGGCAATTTAGCTGTAGACAAATACTCACATTACTAATGGGTGAAGTAATTTCATTGCATTTATTTTAAAGATATCAAAATAAAGAAAGAAGACACTATAACAAACTAATATATAACTATTTGGCTTCGTTCACACGCAAAATTTAAAAAAATCTACTGGTGGTATCTAGCGATCACGATCTGTGATTTGTTTATTCAGTGGCACCATGGGGTATGCAGGACACAGATTGTGATCAGTAGATACGCGCTAGTGGATTTTGGAATATGGATTTTGCATGTGTTGCCTTAAAATGTAAAGTTACACTGTAAAGTTAACACTGTAAGATCAAAGAAATGCCTTGAACAAACTACTTAATAACTGCACTACTGTGGAAAGGCAATTTTCATATACTGAACTACATGAAAAATTGGTTGAACAATTTGCAGAAGTAATGATTTAAACTTAAAACTTGTGACGACTTTAAGATAATATCATATGTACATATAGTAGCAAGAATGACTCACGTTTTACTTTAACATCAAAAGTATAACAATAACTTAACTATGAAAAAGTTAAAAAACTAAGATATATATTAATAAAATAAATGAAACATTTTTTTACAATGTAAGTTAAAAGAAATGCCTTCAAGAAACTCCTCAATACATGTGGACTAATGAGAAAGGCAATTTTAATACTCTGAACTAGATAAAAAAATCTTGAACAATTAGCAGAAGAACTGATTGAAACTTAAAACCCTGAAGNCGTAGGTTGTTAAGTCCCAAAGTATGAATGGTACATGTTGTAATATAGCAATGATAATATTTGTGGAGGGTGTTTATGTTTTACTACGGAACTGTTCATGATTCCGTAATGTCCCAGCTTTGGACAGGTGCTACTTTATCTGTGATTTTCATTGTTTCTTGAACACAAATATTTGGTTTTATGGTCTTGTTGCCTGCTGGCTGCTGTAAAGATGAAGACTGATGTCAACACATTTGAGTTATATTCAGAAAGATAAAAACAGTTATTCCTTTCAGTGAAGTATTTTATTTGTCTGAGTTACATGACATACTTTATGGAAACTAAAAGTGACTTCTGTGTCATCACCATAAATACAATTTGGCATAAATAAATATTCTGTGATTTTTATGTACAGACACAACGTGACTGCTATAGATTCTCCAGGGTGGATGACTGGATCCTTTCACACTTGAGATACACTTTAATTGATTGCAGTCAGTCTGCACATTCAATCCAGTACTGGTTTCTGTCGTACATGCATACCTTCTCCTCAGTAACTCAGCCATTTAAGCTAATTGCAATGATTGCACTTAGCAAGAATCTCCCCAGATGTGTCTATCTGACAGATTACAGCTCTATAGAATACCACCCTTAGAGCAGTTGCAACACTGCCAATGTGTGCTGTAGATTCTCCAGGGCAGATGACTGGATCCCTTCACACTTGAGATAGAACCATTGCAGGCAGTCTTCACATTCAATCCAGTCCTGGTTTCTGTTGTAGACCTGCCTACAATGACAATATATTGGAAATTTAGACAATTTTGGTCTTGTATGGTGGCGGTTCTCTGATCTATATGGGAACATTTCCAGTCTTCCCCTTTCAAAACACTTGCTGAGATGTTCCCCTTTGCTCCTAAATGAAGTTCTTGGGTCTTGTTCCAAAGCACAGAGCCGTTGCATTAGCAATGGCAGAAAGACCACAGTCATTTCTGCTAGTTTGCTCCTAATGTCTATATGCTCCTAAACAATTTCCTTGGATTGAGCAAATTGCAATGAGGCAACGATCTCAGCAATCTTACCCTTCAATCTGGGGCCAGGTCTGGAATTTGAACACAATTGCTATTATTGCTATTCATGTTGGAAAGAGTAAGCCTGCAATAATGATGAAGTGGGAGTGGATAAGAAATAACCATTTATAACAAAGTCTAGGGCACAAGTACCATGAAAGCCCTCAATCTACCTTTGGGAACATATCTGATAAAATTCCATGGGTTATTTCATCTTTAGTCAACCAGGCATGTCTTTGACATAACATTGTTTTAGAAGAAATGTCATACCTACTGCATGAAAGTTTTTTTCTCCGTTTAAGTGACAAGGAAGGGACGTTACCTTTTCTTTTCATACCTATCAAAATAAAGAAAGAAGACACTATAACAAACTATTATATAACTATTTGGCTTCGTTCACACGCAAAATTTAAAAAAATCTACTGGTGGTATCTAGCGATCACGATCTGTGATTTGTTTATTCAGTGGCACCATGGGGTATGCAGGACACAGATTGTGATCAGTAGATACTGCTAATGGATTTTGGAATATGGATTTTGCATGTGTTGCCTTAAAATGTAAAGTTACATATTTAACACTGTAAGATCAAAGAAATGCCTTTAACAAACTCCTTAATAACTGCACTACTGTGGAAAGGCAATTTTCATATACTGAACTACATGAAAAATAGGTTGAACAATTTGCAGAAGTAATGATTTAAACTTAAAACTTGTGACGACTTTAAGATAATATCATATGTACATAGTAGCAAGG